CTCCAAATTGTTCCTCCCCTCCTTCCTCGTTTCCCTTCAAATGGGACACTCCGGGGGGCCCCCCCCCCCCTTCTTTTTAGACCAAAATTGTTTTGGGGACCGCCCCCCCCCCCCTTATCTAAGGGTCTGGATGGCCGGGCCCCTCCCTTTTCTCAGGGTCTGGATACGGCATTGCTTTTTGTACCGCAAACATGCTGAACTTGTCTGCCTGTCTTATAATACGTATTCTTGTGAACTACAAATGTGTAGTTAGACGAGGTCCGAAGAATCATGCAAATAAAATGTTTCTTCTTTAGTAGATTCACTGACAATCATGCAACAGCCAACAGACCAGAAAGGCAAAGAGGGCTCAAAAGTTGTCTTTAATTGCGAAGCAAGAGGAAAGAAAAAAATAACTTATCAGTGGCTCAAAGATAAGTTAAGGCTACCAGAACAAACAAATTCAAGCCTTGTTTTTGACTCAGTTAAGCCACGTGACTTTGGATGCTATTCTTGTGAAGTCAGGTGTTCTGATGGCCAGAACAAGTCTGAGCCTGTGAAGCTGCTGTCTCGCGTGGCAGAACTAGACGTTTTACCTCGTGAAGGAATGAGTAAGTATCACGCATGCATCGGTTCTCTTCTGACAGCCCAGTAATAATTAGTTCTTTGTCTTGATTGCATATGCAGATTTCAAAAGAACTTTTACCCTGAAACGAGTCTTGAGGGCCAATTATTGTGAAGACAGAAGTAGTCACTAAATTGGCCACCATTTTAGAATAGGGTGCATGTATGCTTGTTAACGTGAATTTGCATCTTAACTATTTCTGGGCCGATGTGTAATGAAAGAACCCTGAAAAGTGGTGGTGGGTGGGGGAGGGGGGAGGAAAAGAAACTATTGTTTAAACTTAAACTTAAACTTGAGTGCGCACAGAACTTCAGAGCTTTGAACCCCTGAGAAATTCGCCCCTGAATGTATTAATTAATTATCTCCAATATCCCTTGCGTCCAATTAAAGCACACCCCTACTTTGTCCTTTGTAAAGGCCTCGTCTTTTTTTTCTCTCCTCGCCGCGACTCACATTAAAACAGAACCCAGTCGTTCAAAAGGGAGATAACTCTATCCACCAGATTTAAGTCTTTCCAAGAGAGGATAATTGGTCTTTCTTAATCTCTTATCTTTCCAGGGGATAACGCATTTGATTTCCTATCACTTATCCTCTGGATAGTAATTTATCCGGTGGATAGCAAGCAGAGCCAGGTCTTGGGAAAGATATGTTGTCATTGCCAGAGGCAAAATTTAATTGGTCTAACTGCCACTCAAAGAATCTCACTTCTTTAGCTCGATTTCTATGATTATAGTGGTTCTGATAGTAATTTATCCGGTTGATTGCGTTATTTACCTTTTGAACAACTTGGGCCAGTTATATTCAGGTAACCGGGATCGGCCCAATTCACGGAAAAAGCCGCGTTGCATCGATCCTCTGACTTCAGATAACAGGAGCCTCCTGCAGATAACCTAGTCTACGTAGCAAACGTTTCCGCGTGGTTTCGGAGCAAAGAAAGACCGAGGAACTACTAAGAACGGGATTTTCGGTTTTGGTCGCTCAAAAAATGAAAGAGGGTAGGGGAAGCAGGGAAAACTTTCCTCTTTTTCCTTTCTTCTACACCCCTCCCCGCTCTTTTACTCGCCCCATTCTTCGCGCGGTCTCTTAGACAAACTACAAACTGCTCTCTTAATTTTTTTTGGGCTTTTAGGATTCAAGTATCTAACTGAAGTATTTCAAGATAATCTGCAGATTCTAGAGAGTGTTGCAAAACGGCTCCAAACGAAAGTTCCCGACGCAGGGGGGTGGAAGCAAGTTGCCCACAAGTATGGAATGGCAGAGGAGACTAGAGATTCTTTAGAAGGATCCCAAGAAAGAGGGGAAAGTGTAATCGGCTATCTTAAGACCGCCCACCCACAGTTAACTGTGTACGAATTTTGCAAATACCTCAAGGATATCAAGCGAAATGATATCATCATAGCACTGTCAGACCATTTTTTTTCAGTTGCGAATTAGCTTAGAATTGCAACTGTTGGACTGAACTGCCTCTTTCTTTCTTCTTGTTACAGCAAGGAGCCCAAAAGTGTGACCGCTTTTGATTTATTGACACATTCTTTCGTACAGATTTAATCCAATCAGAAGCCAGCTGGAAACTGTCCTCGACTTCTGGTTGGTTAATGTCTGCACGAAAGAATGCGAGTTAATTAAAGGATCTCACACTCCTTGCTGTAACCCTTTAAAGTCGCAAGAGTGGCCAACATCAGTTTTCTCCTAACGATATCACTACACCGTCAAAGGAAAAGATTATGGAAATGAATATAATGATCACTAAAGAGGGAAAATTATTTCATCTTTTATCAAATAATCCCAAATAATTCTTTAAGGAGACGGTCTGGAGATTTTGTTTGTAAATATTGGGACTTTAGGGGTAAAGAGAATCAAGGCTACAAAACGGACTGGTGAAGTTAGGTTTTTTCCATCATAATCAAACCCAAGTTAAAACTGATGATAGAGCATAGCAGTAAATAGAATAAACGATATTTTTATAATTAGAGCAATACCTTTCCATCTAAACTATCGCCCCAGACGTAGATGATCGAGATGTTCGGCGCGACTCACCGATTCTCAAAATTTTGTAAAACGAGGTGGTTGCATTAATATAGTTATCGTAAGCAGGTTCGTTACAAAATATAATATAGTTATCGTACTAGCTTAGGCAGTTGTTACAAAACTCAAGCAGTTTTTTTTATGTTTTTATATTTTTTATTACTTTTTAAGCACTTAGGTTAGACTTCTTACCCGCTCTTTGTCGATCTGCAAAGATCTGACATTGGTGTACCTCATTAAACATCGGATTCGAAGAAGGATCCTTAAGTTAAATTGATACTAATTCATCTTTTAAAACTGGAGATGCTTCTTGTAACGTTAATAGTAACGCAACGTGAAATTTTCAACATGGCTACCTGACGTCCGATCAAACGCTTCACTTGTTTGATTGTAAGCGTTGTACATTCATGTATACATCGGCGTTTTTACGTTTCACTCTTATTTGGACCCAAAGTTGATAGTCAAGAGATACTCAAGACAACTGTTTTTCGAACAGACAGTCAAACCACAGGCGGCACTAACGTCTGATTTGTTGTAATAGTGAAGATTATTTACTTTATTGATACGAGAATTGTGTTTTTTAGTGTTCATGTTGATTTTTTTTCTTTTTGGTGACCTGGTGCAAGGCCTGGAAACGAGAAAGCTTGAGGGTCTGGGAAAGTCGAAAATTCGGAAAACTCTTGGAAGATAGGAGCCGGTGGCGAGTATATGCGCGCGGCTCCGAAGGTTTCTTGGTTACAGACCTCACATCATCTAACCGCAAAATCAAAATTACTGCCAATTCACAGAAAACAGATTTCACACATCGATTAACTATCGATTTATTGTCATCAAATCTTTCCTTACGGACACCTCTCTATTAAGGACAGTTATTATGGTCGTAATATGCCAAAATTTTTTTAAGGAATTTGAATATTAGAGCTAGTGTAAAGTACTGCTACTTAGTTAAAGTACTACCATTTAGTCTCATTTTAAAAGTTTAACTACTTTTCTAGGTTTTTTCGTAATGACGTGGGTGAAGAGAAAAAAACCCTAAGATCAAAGTAATCAAAAGTGATTGAAGTATAGGTAAAATGTTACGGAATTTGTATTTATTGGTCGAGTTTCTAGTATAGCTGGTCTACTATAGTCGCACTCAATCATGCGTTCGTAATAGTGATTAATTGTATTTAACAGTTTTGCTAAATAACTTCAGTAGGATGTAGCTGGACTACCTTACGACATTAGGA